GTAGTAGTAGTAGTAGTAGTGGAATTAAGTTATACAAAGCAGCTCGTACCTAGACATGTAGCCATACACCTCCAACACGTCCGGGTCATTTGCTGAGATTCCCTTGCGACAAGGCTTCCATGGGGCGGGTACCCCCATACAGAGATCCCAATATTAGGACTGAGTTCGAAAGCGGTTGCTGACTATAACTTCAAGGAACATTCATCACGGTTGGGGCCTTGATCCGGAAGGTGTGGCGCACACTATAGTACAAAACCAATGGCAAACCCGAATGCCCTAAGGAACACTGTTGCTAATTATTCAGGCTGTGATGGGCTCTTTGGGCAGGTCCGCCTGAAAGATTCGGGGCAGGATGTCTGGGACTCAAACAGAATGCTACTTGATCCCTCTATTTGGGGGTCTATACGATGCTTCCTTGGGTTTCCTTCACATTGATATGCTACCTGATCCCACTAAACCCAAATCCCCAAACCCCGAAACCCCAAACCCCAAATCCTAAAACCCTAAACCCACTCTAAACTCCTGGGGCGGCTTGAAGTCCAAGGCCACGCAAAGCACCTCCGACTCTCAACAGACGGGTTAGGGCTCTAGGGGGGACTCTAGAAAGCTTTCGAAACTTGCTTTGGCGAGGTTGTCTGAGGGTACTCGAAGTAAACCCTAAACCCCTGAACCCCAAGAGTTCTAGACGAACTCGAAAGGCTCACTACGAAAAACTCTTGCATGCCGCACTAATGTAGGGGTCTTAATAAGTAGAATAGGGTTTTTGGCTCCTTTATGCCATAACTATAATAAGGACTCGTCAGGAATGATATGGGATTATTGTTCATTACTTAGGCTTTATAATCGTAAACACCATTCAGGTGTAATTTCAAGCTGAAGTACATGCCTTTCATGAAGCCCCTCGTCGTTATGAGCACCGATCCTGCAGATAAAAGCTGCTTCTCCAAGAGCGCAAGACCCGCTTTATGGAATCTGCCTCAAGCCATGCGAAAGATCCTTGGAAAGTTGCAAGCAAACTCCTCACTCAAGGGTTGAATGTTCTGGGTTCTCCTGTAGCCCCTCAATAAACGGGCACCCCTTTCCTACTATAGGTACCGGAATCCAAAATGAACAAGGGCAACAGGGTACTTGCGGATTCTGTAGTCTAGAATACATTCTGTAGTTGGGGGCGGATTGGGCTCTCTGGTCATCCCCAAACCCATAAACATCCGAACAAGACCTGTGATGAAACTGTTCTACGCACCTTACAGATCGCATCGCCCACAACGAAATCCTGAACCCTAAACCCTAAGCCCCCTAAACCCCGAACCCCAAACTCTGAACCCTAAGCCCTCTAAACCCTGAACCCTAAGTCCCCTAAACCCCGAACCCTAAACCCGGAACCCTAAGCCCTCTAAACCCTAAACCCTGAGCCCCCTATACCCTGAACAGTTCTACGACCAGCTCAGCCTGGCCTGCAAGGCTTTGTCCACAAAGTCTTCCTTCCGAGTGGAAGTGGCTTTTAGGGGTTTCGGAGCTTGGGGTCTTTAGGGAGTTTAGGGCTTAGAGGTTTAGGGGTTGAGGGGTGTTAGAGGTTTGGGGTTTAGAGGTTTGGGGTTTAGGGCTTACAGTAGGGTGTAGAAGGTTCTTTCTTCTTGTCTTTGGCGAGAGGCTTTAATGTGGCTTTAAAGCTGTTCCAGGGTTCAAAAGGGCACTACTGAGGAACCGAGTAGCTAACTGGAACAAGGGTAGCTCTCCAAATTGGGGTCCCATTTTCAGGCCCCCCAAAATACTACGGCACCCTTAATTTAAAGAACTACGCAAAGCCCGGAAGGATCTGGAAATTGGAGATCATGATTGGGTTTTCGTTGAAAGTTCCGGGTTTAGGTTGAAGGAGATTTTCGGGGTTTGGGGTTTGGGGTTTCGGGTGCTAACTCGGGGGTTAAAGATGACCTATCACAATGCACCCAGAACAAAACATAAGACAAGGATTCAACAAGAGAGAAGAAAACTCCAAGACACGTTCTTTTAGGCAGCGCTCTCACAGGTTGGCATCCCTGCTATACCTCAACGAAGCTAATGTTCCTACTCAATGGGCTTTCTGATGGGTCTGGGTTCCTAGGCCACAGACTCTGCAAGAGTCCTGTGAGTTGCTACTGAAGTAGCCGCCATACGGCACGCCCCGACCTGAGCCGTCTGCGTCACTTTGCAGTTATGCTCGTAGCCAGACTTTTTTTGTACTTGGGGCCTTGGGGCAGAGTAGGGATAAGGTGCTTACGGGTCAGGGTCTACAAGTTAGGTTCTAGGAACCCCAAACCGTAGTAGTGCTTTCAGAGGGAGGCCATCTTCACCAGCTTGGGAGCAGCGCGTGCAAATTAACAGCGGTACGGATCATTCGGGCCTGAAGTTCTTGATTAGTACAATTTCCTTCCTAAGGGTGTAGGGGTTTAGGGTTTAGGGTCTAAGGTCCACAACATGTTTGTTATACCAAACCCCGAACCCTAGTCTGATTGTTCAGACCCTACAATGATTGATACGGTTTAGGGTTTAGGGTTTAGGGTTTAGGGTTTAGGGTTTGCTGTCTATGTGTCGGGTCAGTTGCTCAGGCCTCTTGGATTGCCCTGCTTAGAGGACCGGAAGCTTCGTCAGTAGGTTCAAAGTAGAGCACAAAAAGCACCCCTAAGTAATTTAGGGGCCGTAATAACTAGAATAAGGGATTGTGGTATGTTGTATTTTCCATCATAACAAAAAGACGCCGAAATAGTATAGGTAATTGTGAATGCCCCTATGTTTCCACCTTACTTCTCACCCACTCCTCAGGCCCCTCATTGTTGAAGTAGGCCCTAAGATGCTACGCATTTCGCAGTGAACAACATTGACAGCATCAAGGCGACTGATCTGAAGGCGAAGGCCTGAGACAGAACGTCTCCCAAGCACTGTAAGTATAATGATGTATAGGGGCCTGCACACTTAGAATAAGGTTTTGGGGCATGTTCTGAGCCTCAGAACTATAGGAAGCTGATGTAGAAACCTCGAGTTACCAATTCCCGAAACCAAGGGGTCCTAATTAGAGCCAGGCGTAGCTTCATCAGGTTCCTACATGGGTAGCTCTCTAAATTCGGGTCCCTTTTAAGGGTCCTTTTTTATGAGCGTGTCGTGCTATACTTGGGACCTAAAGAGGGGCCCTAATTTCGAGGACTACCCACATTAGGAACCTCAACGAGTTGCAATACCACCCCATCACGGTACCTCTTCGGCGACATCCCCAAAGGCTGCTCTAAGTTTCCAAGAACCCAGAGTTGCACTAGGAAGCCGTTCCCTGAACCCCAAAGAAACCCTAAACAGAATCCAACAAAACCGAGCAAACGCACCAAAAAACCTTGACAGCAACACAAGGGGCCCAAAAACCCAAACGCCCCACAAAGTCTCACGAAATCCGAAAGCCCAAGATCTCAGCAGCCGGCCGACCGGGTCGTACCTGCAGACCGTAGACCTCAGAAGCAAGGCTTTTGAGGGTGTTATGCTGAACAAAAGACTACGTCGTCGTCCGGAGCGTCGCCGTTATGCCTTGAGCCGCTCTAGCTGGCTTTTAGGGTTTAGGGTTAGAGTTTTAGGGTTTAGGGTTTAGGGTTCAGGCTTCAGGACCGGGCACTTCGAGAACTACACAAGGCGATCATCCCAGCCTCCCCTCGGCCCTGGATGCAGGCCACCTACTCACGAAGTCCCGGTGACCGTTTTAAGCTTGCCCTTAGCTCTAGGCCCTTGATCTGGGCTGCCGGCAGCAAGCTGCAGAAGATGTTGGCGGTGTGGCAGACCTTGCAGCGGGAACTGGGAAGGCATCAACCACCAGCAGTAATTCAAGCCGTGCAAGACTTGCTACAAGCTGAGAAATTGTGGACGGAATACCAAGAAGCATGATACAGTTCTTGAGTGGTCACTAACATCCCGATAGTGTACAGCTGCCGACGCCAATGGTTTAGTGCAGAGGCCTGAATATTGTAGAAGAGCTGCCTAGGTTTTAGGGGGCTACAAAGAAATACTCTTATAGATATTCCATGTTATTCCGACCCCAATATGAGCATTGCTTGCAACGATTTCCATTTCATAATACGGTTCTCGTTCAGCTGTGAAGACAATGCCCCGACGTGACAGACTGAAAAACATGTCCCAGCGCAGTCCCTATATAGTACTACAAGATAGCCACAAAAGCCGTGTGCTGATTGCGGCGAAGCACCTCGCCACTGACAAAGCGACGCAGCCACTGTGGCGGCGACTCCTCCCGCACGCTTTGGGCTAAGAGCTTGGGCTTCGCGCTTGCGTAGTGTCGGGGCATATTGCGGCCTTTATATTTGGAGTAGGGTGTAGGCTAGTATTGTCATGTAGGGACTATAAGCGGACATTGCTACTCATCATTGGGAACCTCTCTATTAGATACTCTATTGATCAAGCGTGCTGCAGTCTGTAGGTTAAGTAAGCTGCAGTGTCCCCACACCGTCAAACACTGCATGTTGCTTCTTCCACGTCAAGGCAGCAAAAGCAAACGCGGCTTGCTAAATCCATCACCCAAAACTCCTATACCTTTCTGGCCTATAATAATTGAAGTGGGGTTTTGGGGCAACTATAGTTATAATAGGGAATCCCAAAACCCTATTCTAATTATTAAGGTCCCTACATTAAATGCTAAGCTTTTAAACGCCTGCAGCCGCTGATTGGAGGTAAGATCTCTGACTATCTTTTTCTCGCTTGGGGGCTCAGGCTATCGACGGTGTCGCCAAACTGCCAGCAGCACCACCTCGAAATCAGATGCTCCTCCCCGAACATGGGGGGGTCGTTCCACCTCAGGGCCTTGTTTTTGATTTGGAAGATGAGTAAACCCTAAACCCTAAACCCTAAACCCCTAAGCCCTAAACCCAAAAAAGAAGGGTCCCTGAACCCACATTCCCAAACAGGGATGGATTGACAGAAGGAACAGTGAGAATACGAGAGTTGAGGGCCAAAGAAGGCGGGGATGAAGCAACCGGCCTTATAATTAGAATAGGGTTCTGGGGCCCATTATACTACAGTTATAATAAGGAACCCCCACAATAGTCTTGGTAGTTGTTTATGCCCCTATATTACCAGGATGGGCCAGGTGACCATATTGCACTTACCCGGGCCAGCAGATAAACCCAACATCACCATGGGAGGACTGGGGGTGATGCAGATGTCAAGCAAACAGGAAGATGCGAGCCGACCTTTACAGCACTTGCACGCAGGCATTGCTATACTCATCATGAGCTCTGATTTTAACAATGTCGCCATGACCATTGTGATTTTGCATCATGATGACCATGTTCAGGATTATGAGCAAGGCATGGTTTATCTTCGCAACTCTTATGTTTATGCTTGTTTCCGGTACTGTTGTTGTCAACAGCGGTAGATTTGTGAGTAGAACCACTTTTGCAGTGATGATCCTACGCTGCCAACAGAGGCACAGGAACGCACATCATTTGCCGCCCCTAAACCCGACTGACCATCCCGCAAAACCCTCTAAGAAACAGGCCTCAATACTTAGAATAGGGTTTGAGGGTCTATTATCGCATAGCTACTTAGGTAGCCCTACGGAATGATATGGGTAATTATTCAGGCTTGTATACTAGGACCTCCGCAAAATCACAACCCGTAGTCTGGAGTTCTTCTACGTCGCAAGGGAGTGATCAGGCTGCAGCGCGATAACAGCAAGCTATCCAGAAGCACGCTTCTTAAAACCTCCCTGTTTGGAGGGACATCTCTATATATGTGCATATATATGTACATGCTTACATGCAGTATAGCCAGTTTACTTAGCATGGTACACACACAAATATATACTATACGTCTACCTATCTATCTATCTATCTATCTATCTTCCTTTCTATCTATGTATCTATCTATATTCTAACTATCCATCTAGCTATCTATTTGTATCTATCTGTCGATCTATCTATTTATGGATCTATCCATCGATCCATCCGTCCGTCTATCTATCTCTATCTATCTATCTATCTATCTATCTAGTTATACACAGACATACATACATACATACAGACATACATACATTACACTACATTACATTACATTACATTACATTACATTACGTTACATTACATTCCATACCATACCATAGCATGCCATACCATACCATACCATGCCGTACATACATACATACATACATACATACATACATACATATATATATGTAAGTCATCAGCGCATCGGTGTACCGACAGGTTTGTACGATATTCCTTTGGAGGCATATGCCTGAAGCAACAGTGAGGCTCGTTCTTTGACATCATGCAGCACTGCCTGTGTCGGCAGCCACTGCCGTTCTGTACCGATCTCATTTTCCTCCTGCTCTTCCTGCTGTTCTCCTCTTATCATCACCACCATCAATGTGCTCACAATCACCATCACAGTTAATCTTCTTTTATGTTCCTTTCAGACTTCCTGATTCCTGAGCACCAAGTCCGAATCTCCAAGCCAAAATCCCTGCACCCAAAACTTCTACCAAACTACACTGCGACCATTCTTGGGGCAACTCAACCAGTACTTAAACGCCTTCGACCCCATTCCTCTTTCCAAAACTTTTCCGACCCGCCAACCCTTTCCAAAGCCAGACGCCCTGAGAAACAACAACTTGTGTAGAACCCTCACACTCCGATCTAAACCCTGAACCCTCAACCATACATATATATATATATATACATATATTTATAGTAATGTATATATATATATATATATAAGCCTCTAGCCACTGGCAAAAAGACACATCATAAGATAGAGCCCTATAGACGTTTTTTTATAAGGGTACCGCCTTCTTTTCGTTTCCGAAAAAGGGGATCCTAATTTAGCTATCAACACTTGGAGGTTCATGGGTAGTTAAAAGTTGGGTTATAAGTAGGGTAACTATAAGTATAACCCATATAGGGGACTTATAACCCTACTTATAACTACTCATGTCATGAACCTCCCAAGTAAACCCTAAACCCTAAACCCTACTTACAACTCCACTTATACCCCAAGCCCTAAACCCTAAACCCTACCTCCAAGCATGCATCCTCCCTAAGTCATTCTCGGCCCAGTGCCGCGAGCCCGGCCACGGCCACGGCGACGCTCCGCCGAGGCGTCGGCGCAGTGCCGACAGGAGCCTGGCTCGTCTGTCTGGTGCTTAGTAGGGAATGGGGGAGTGGGTTATAGGGACTACTACAAGGGACCGGTATAGGGTTTAGGGTTCAGGGTTTAGGCCTCCCTTTTAAAGGCCCTGGAGGGCTCTTACAGACGAGGGTTTAGGGCTGGTTTGGGGTTTAGGATTTGGGGTGTAAGCTTTTAGGGCTTAGTGTGGTAGGTTTAGGGGTGGTAGGGCTTAGGATTTAGGGTTGAGGTGGCTCTAACGGTTGCAAGTATAAAAACAGACACATATAAGAGCAGACACATATCATAACAGTAGATATGCAAAGGAACAGAGCATTCAATTCAAGTAAATGACTGCGGTTTTTTTGCTATATAGGTGGCGGTTTGCAGATTTACACGACAGCGCGGGTCAATTGACGAAACCAGTAGATGTTCCACAGGAGGAACAAGTTTGTCGGGTACGTCCTGAGGAGTTTCTGATGCGAGCCGAGACTCTTCATGTGGACAGCCCTGGCAATGGGGACCCAGGGTTTAGGGTTTAGGGTTTAGGGTTTAGGGTTGAGGTCTCCCAACATGCTTCGCTTCTGGTTGCTTGTCTACCGTCAGCAATACGCCAAGGCTTCCCTGTCCTTGTGTTTGTTTGTTGCAGGCATCGCGGCATCGTGGTTCTTTGGAAATCTCAAGCCACACGGGCAAGGTTCCAAAATGGGCTTGTGGTTAAGAAGGGAGTATGGGCTTCGAAAGGGTAACGAACCTTGGAGGACTAAACCCTCCAACTGTTGTCCCAGTCGCAACTAAGAGCAGGTTGCGACCCAATGTAGAAGCCCTGTAGAAACCCGTCAGGGAGGTCCTCATAGGAAATCATAACAGTAGTAATAACAGTGATAAGAATCATTGTGCGCAATAAGAGCGACAACAGCAACAACAACAACAACAACAACAAGTACAAGTACAAGTCCAAGTCCAAGTCCAAGTCCAAGTCCAAGTCCAAGTCCAAGTACAAGTACAAGTACAAGTACAACAACAACAACAACAACAACAACAACAACAACAACAACAACACCAACAACAACGACAACAACGACAACGACAACGACAACGACAACTACAACAACAACAACTACTACTACTACTACTGCTGCTA